TCCAGTGGCACAATCATGGCTCACTGCAGTCTCGATCTCCCGGGCTAAGGCGATCCTCTTGCCTCAGTCTCCTGATTAGCTGGGACTACAGGCATGCACCTGTACACCTGGCTAATTTTTAAGTATTTTTGTAGAGTAGAGGTTTCATTACATTGCCCAGGCTGGCCTTGAATTCCTAGGTTCAAGCAATCCTCCTGCCTCAGCCTCCCACAGTGCTGGGATTACAGGCATAAGCTACCACGCCCAGTCTCTTGAAACTTGTGGAGAGGAAGCATAGAGAACAAACAAGTAGATGGAGAATTCGACAACAAAAGCCAAGAGCAGAGTGGGTAAGACCCCCTCCTCTATTTATTTGAGTCAGAGTCTCACTCTGTCACCCAGGCTGGAATGCAGTGGCATGCCCATGGCTACCACAACCTCAACCTGCTGGGCTCAGGCGAACCTTCTGCCTCGCCTTCCGAGGATCTAGAACCATAGACATGCACCAACATGCCAGACTAGTTTTTTGATTTTTTTATTTCTTGAGGTCTCAAATCCCTGGGCTCAGACAATCCTCTCACCTCAGGCGTAAGCCACTGCACCCTGCCCCCATCTGTGATTCTAAAGGGTTTTCCAGGTTTAGTTCCATCCACCACCCTGGGGCGCTCATGCTTCCAATAGTCAGCTAGAGTCAAGGGCATCAGCTCCACCATCTCCACTGACCATCAGACCCCTCTGCTGTGTGATAACAGGCAATGGTCACACCTGCCCTCTTACAGGTCAGGTAGGCCATGTTATGAGTTCCTCCTCATAAAGCTAGACATCTTGGACTCATCTTAAGACAAAGTGTCCCTGAGTGAGCTCTCAGCAAGACTAGAACTCCAAAGTCCTGTGCTGACGCTACATGCTTTAACTTTTGCATGCGCTTCATTGAAAAGCATTTGGGGCTGGGTGTGGTGGCTCATGTCTGTTATCCCTGCACTTTGGGAGGGTCAAGGTGGGAGGATTGCTTGAGCCCAGGGGTTCAAGACCAGCCTGGGCAACATAGCGAGACCTTGTCTCTACAAAAGATTCAAAAAATTAGCTGTGCATGGTGGCACATGCCTGTAGTCCCAGCTGACTTGGGAGGCTGAGGTGAGAGGCTCACCCAAGCCCAGGAGGTTGAGGCTGTGGTGAGCCATGACTGTGCCACTGCATGCCAGCCTAGGCAACAGAGTAAGACCTTGACTTCAAAAAAAAAAAAAAAAAGAAGCATTTGGGTAAAATAATCCGCCTTTACAACCTCATATTCACAGAGAGGTGTTTTTCAGTCTACTCACTCTTGCATGAGACCCCAGGTAGCTGGTAAGGCCAGCATCTGTCCACACTGCAAGTGAGGTGACAGGTGTTTGTGTGTTTGGTATATTAACATCAAAACAAATTTTAGATGGGGCTCAGCTGTAATCCTATCACTTTGGGAGGCCAAGGCGAGTGAATTGCCTGAGCCCAAGAGTTCAAGACCAGCCTGGGCAACTTGGCAAGACTTCATCTCTAAAATAAAATCAAAAATTAGCTGGGCATGGTAGCATACACCTATAGTTCCGGCTACTTGGAAGCCTGAGGTAGAAGGATCACCAGAGCCCAGCAGGTCAACGCTGGGGTGGCCGTGAGTGTGCCACTGCACTCCAGGCTGGGTGACAGAGTAAGACACCAACTCAAAAAAAAAAAAAAAATAAAACCTTATCAACAAAGCTACATCATTTTAATCAGTTTCACCACAAGGTAATATTTGTAAAAAACTCTTATATCTTCTGAGATTTTCGATTAAAGCACACACCAATGCTATTAGGTTAGGCTGACATGGGGTTTCAGATGTTGGCCTCACATCAGTGTGCTGTTGACATCAAAGTTTAATTTGTGGGCAACCCCCTAGGGTCCCCTCCCACTGTGGGAGCTTTTCCATCCTTCTCAACAATCCGCTTTCTTAAAAAAAATGTGTAGACAACTCTAAGTTAATTTTAATCTCTCCAAAGTCAGTTCTTATAATCTCACATGCCCACCTCTTCTGTGGCAGTCCCTGGGCCTGACTGAATAACATTAATGTTTGTCCCTGTGTCTCATAAAGACAGATTCTTCAATTGTCATTTTCTCCTTGACCTGAAGACGAGGCCCTGCTTGGTGGGGTTTAGTAAGAGTAATTGCCTTTTTCATTCCAGGAGCCAAAGCTCTGGAACTCAACAGCACAAGGATGAGTTAATAGAAGATTTACTAAAGATAAGAAAGGTTTAGAACTTTTTTTTTTTTTTTTTTGAGTCGGAGTCTCACTCTGTCACCCAGGCTGGAGTGTAGTGGCAAGCTCACAGCCACCGCAGACTCAACCTGCTGGGTTAGGCAATCCTTCCACCTCAGCCTTTCAAGTAGCTGGAACTATCAGCATGCACTACCCTGCCTGGCTAATTTTTTGATTTATTGTCTCACCAAGAAGTTCTCACCAAGTTGCCCGGGCTGGTCTTGAACCCGCAGGGTCAGGGAATCCACTTGCCTCGGCCTCCCAAAGTGCTGATATTACAGACTGAGCCACCACACCCAGCCTAGAACATCTTACTAAAACAGAACCACAGATTGCTGTAAAAATAAGTCATCCCTGTAACCAAGGTGATAAGCTTTAGAAGCAATACCAAAAGTTGCAGTAACAGTTTCAAAAGAGGTTCACGTGACCCAGGTTTGCTGGGGCAGAAGGATGCTCCCACCAGGGCCTGTTTCCCTGTTGGAGATGATTTCTACAACTCCCAGCAAGCAGCTATCCAAGCCTAACATCTGGGAACAGCCAAGAAAGTGCTGGAACCCTCTGCCCTGACCCAGTCCGGACTCAAAAGCAAGACAGGGGCTCACCTGGCAGGCGATGTCCTCCACTCGGTAAGGGTTGTATGACTTCTGGCAAGACCTGCAAAACTGCTTGAAGAAAACCTGTGAGGAGACAGAGGGGCCCCTTCCAGCAGGAGCCCCCGTGCGCTGCGCCGAGCCGCGAGCGGCGGTGCTGGGGCTCACCTTCCTGGTGTTGGGCACGCACCACACGTAGGCGCTCTCCCACCGGATGTTGCAGGTCTTGCAGCGATAGAAGCCGTATTTCCGCTCTAAGAACTGAGCAACAGGGAGGGGTTAACCACACCTGGAGCCTCCACCTCAGCAGCTGGGAAAGGGCGACGTAAAACTGGCAACTCGTGGAAGGCAGAGGGGCAGGTTTGGGTCAGCCTCGTCAAGGCTGTGAATTAAGGCCAGGTGTGGGGGCTGTGATGCCTGCACTTTGGGTACGGAGGGTACTGAGCCAGAGGGATCACTTGAGGCCAGGAGTTTGAGGCCAGCCTGGGCAACATAGCAAGATCTTGTCTCTTCGAGGGAAAAAAGAAAAAGAAAAGGCATGGTGGTGCGAGCCTGCAGTCCCAGCTGCTCAAGAGGCTGAGGCGGAAAGATCGCCTGAGCTCAGGCGGTCAAGGCTGCAGGGAGCCGGGACTGTGTCACGGCTCTCCAGCCTGGGCCACAGAGTGAGACTCTCTCTTAAAAAAAAAAAAAGACAGTAATTAGGTGAGCTAACAGCTCAGTCAAGCACTTAAGTCCGGGCTCTACACAGCCTGTCTACAGGTCAGTTCGGTTCTTATGGCCAGTGGAGGCTGCAGGGATGGTGGGGACAGACAGACTCCCGGGTTCTCTGAGGCTGGGATTCCCTGGGGGCCCCACTCTGCAGACACGAGAGTCTCAAGCCTCGCAGCCAGGGCGCTCAGGGCGTTCACCCAGGTCAAGGTCTGCAGCTGCACCTCCCCGGGGTGCGAGGAGTCCCACCTAGCCCGAGCAGCGGCCGCGTTCCTCCGCGCCCCGCGCCCCTCCCAGCGGGAGGCCGGTGTGGAACCCGCTTCCAGGCGGCCTCCGAATCGGAAGGAACCGGAGGGCTTCGCGCAGCTTCACCGGTAAGCCGGCGAGTCCGCGCGAGGCCAAGACTTGCCGCGCACAGCCGGTGGAG